TTCATGCGTAGCACTGCCTCCTTTCTTTGAGCAGGAAGGTCTTCTTTCAGGAAGCTTCAGAAGCAGTATCAAATAATAGGGGCATCTTTCTTATATTAAAATTGTTAAAATTCCTTATTATCATCAATTACTTCATCTCTCTTTGATAGCTCTAAAGCCAAACTTACAAACAAAGGCAGCTTTGTTCTGATCACTCATCACCATTATATAAGGATTCATATGATCACATTCTTCCATTCTGATGATAGCAGTTAAAGCATCCTCTTTGAGAGAATATCCCTAGCAATATCTTCTGGTAATGGCAACATTCTGTAGCAAAGGCTGTTTTAGACGATTCCACTTTCTCTTATGTGTCCTACAGCTTTATATGGTCAATACCATATATTTTGAGGATCAGAGGTACGAGTGACAGCATCACCAACTAGTCCTCAATTCAGTGGAATCCACCAAGAAATGGTTATTGACTTGTGTTCCTCACTGTGCAGGCATGAAAGCTCTCCTGAATTAAAATATTTTAAAACAGTTTGCAGGGTATATATATTTCTAATCATATATACAAATTTGGACATTTTTGTTTTACACAAAGTTTGGTGAGCCAATTCCCAGTCAAGTCTGAGGTATAGTCTTAGAGTCCACGAGGGAAATCCTTTCCTTCAATCATCGGGATATGTACTTGTCCACTCTTGACTATCCTGACAGAACCTAAATCAGTTGGTACAGTTCGCAAAAACCTAAACCTATATGCCACTTTAGCTTACAGAATAAAGAAATTAACATGTGGTCAGCCTGACTGAAGAGCCCCACCCCTGGGCTATCCAGTCAATTGTATTCCATGTAAGTGTTTGCTTTACTGCTCAATTCCAGGGACTAGGGTAAAAGATCTAGTGATGGGCCACAGCACATAAAAATTCCAACAGCTAAGCTTCCATAGCACGCCTACCCCTGTTGTGGCATAGGCTAGTAGCATTCAAGCACATACACACTTCAGAGGTGTTCATGGAACAAATGCCTAGTTTTTGGAATTTTCCTGTGATGTGGCCCATCACTGGGTCTTTTACCCTAACAGGTAAAAAAAAAAAAAAAAAAACTTCCCAAAGCACAGGTAAGCCTATCAGGATCGAAAGCCCCACCTCACCATATAGTTTTCCAAATTGAAACTAATTTAATGAAACATTTGAAATGACTGCCCTGGCATCCTCCCTCGATCCTCACCAACATGAATGTTTCCTTGATCAAGTCCATACAAGGCATATCCATCTCCACTTCCAGAGACTTGACCATGTCTTCAACTTAGTATGATATTAGTGTGACCGATTAGCCCCACCTTACCCTACTCACTCTTCAAACATATTTGCTCAAGAGTCAAAATTGTAATTAAGAAGTGGGGAGAATTGGAAATGCTTCTGGAAATTAAGGGCAATGTAATTAGATATAAAGCATTTTCCTAGCTTCAATAGTTCCTTAGATTCATGCATTGGGAGCCACACAGAAATATACTCAGGTCAAGAGTTTGTGAATCTTCATCCTGGAAACCATGAGCATGTGTGCATAAATTCAAGGGTGATTTTCAAATTAAAACTGGACATTGATGAATGCAATATACAATGTCAAGGAAACCATGTAAATTGTATTCTGTGTTATTTGGCTGAGTGGCAGCATCATCCAAACTTGCAAGTTAGTGCTGCTGCACCAAAGAGATGAGTTCAGTGGTCCACATCTTGGTTGCAGAGGGCGTAAATGAGAAAAAAAATTATGGCAGACTGTAAGTAGTGTATGAAGACAATAGCAAGTGAGTGCACGTGTTCCAAACTGGGACAAGTGTAGCTGGTACATTGTTTCTGAGCCCATTCCAGTCTTCTGATGCCAGAGATATCAGCTCCATGGAGTACCAGGTCTGACAAAATCAGTGCCTTACCATCAATGTAATTGCCAACCAGATGGACATTAGCCATGGTTCCATGCAGCACATAGGGTAGAAAGTGCTAGATTTAGAGAAAAGGAGTGCACAGTGAGTCCCCTGACAGTTGACTGACGCAACAAAGAACCATGACTGGCCAATGTGAAGTTGTCAACTTCCCATTGAAGGGGATGGCTTCCAAAGTCTAATCATGACTGGAGATGAAATATGGGACAGCTACTATACACTGGAAAGCAAACAACTGAGTGTAGAATCCAAGAGGTGGTGCAATTGTGGCTTCAGGAGCAGCTGAAAATGCTCTTCCCTACAGGTATCAGGGCTTTGGTGGGAAGGTGACAGAAATGCATCAATAAGTGAAGGGACTACATAGAAAAATGATGCATTAATCATGACCATCAGATCACTATTACAGTTAATTTCCCTCAATGTCCTGCTTTCATTTGAACCCCCCCTCAGACTTTGCATTATATTCTGTTAAAATTAGGCCAGGTAGAGTTTCATAAAAAATTATTAATGTCTCCCACAGATTGGTAGACATTTGAGAAAGAATGACCCATAGGCCTATACCTTTCCTGATCTCATGAAATCCAAAAAAGAAAGTGACAAAATCTCAGAGAACACTGGCCCATCCTACTTTTGCTTCCTTTCTTATCGACAGGACAGCAAGAGCAAATTTTGCAGAAAACCTGTATACTATGCCTTCCACGAAAGGAGTATTCCAAGGACGTTTGATTGCAGAACTTCTGCAGGAGAGGCTCCCTTCCCCAACCAACAGTCCATTGTAGATTTGAACAATTGCAGGAATGTGAACAAGCTGTCTCTCCATTCCTTGAGAACCACTACTTAGAAAAAACACCATTCCTATCCTGACTATTTTTTGTTTTAATTTCCTACTAGGCAGAGTCGAACCTCTATTCAGCAATGGCTACCCAATTTCGGAGGCCGAAAATAGTCTAAATATTTTGAACTGTGCTATTACAAAGAGACGCCTGTGGACTTTCCTGAACTCTCTAAGAAAGTAATGAAATACTACTTCTTGATTACTCATATACTTGAGAAAAGAAAACATGAACAAATTCAACTTTGCACATGAAGCCATGCGCTGGGATCCGTCCGGCTGTGCGAAGATAGAAAGGACCAAACCGACCAAGAGGGTAAATAAAGTAGACAAGCACGACAAGGCAGGCTCCTTGCTGGTGAAAAATCTTTAGAGAACACCAGCAATGAAAGAGTAAGAGGAAACAAACCTTATAATAAGCCCCGTTGTCTCCTCGAACTTCTACGCTACCGTCCTCCATCTTGGTAACACGGAAGGAGCAGCAGAGAACCCGGCGAGCTGCAGCAACACTGTTCAATCGCTCCCGCCCTTGTTGCAACTATCTGATTCTTGGCATGGGAAAATTTTACTTGAACTCGCCTATTTTCTCTCTGTATCGCTGAATCTTATTTAATTTAAAATTAATCAGGCTCTATTTCTGTTTCAACGAACTTATTAACATTCTCTTTACAAAAGAATCGACTCAATATTGATTCGTGTGTCTGGCAACCAAACTCAAGTTATGTCCTCTTACAGTGTACAGTCTGTGGAGAGCAGTCATGTGCCACATAGTCTAGGATGATCAGATTTTTTTTTCAGGAAAAACCGGTACATTTTCAAGAAAAGGCCAAAATGATAGTCCTTGATATGTGAATAACCAGAACCCCATAATAGAAAGAAAAATTGAATCAAGATCTTTTTTTCATCCTTTACATGCATCAGAATCACATTGATATTTACTAAGTTAGAAGATTGGATTGAAGACATTTCTCTCCTTGCTCAGTTTCTCATGAAATTCTTTACTGTTGTGACCAAAATCTGCTTTCACCAAGAACAAGACCTTGATTGTATTGGTGTCAACAGATTTCTCATCGGTTCACATGAAATTCGTTGCTTAGAAAACTCGTTCCACTGATGCATTGGTCCCAGGAAGGTAGAGAGCAATAGCAGCAATGCTTCTCAAATTTTCATGAGAATATTTTTGGTTTTAAAATGACAAAATGCCTATTTTGGCATCAACTTCTTCATCTTGAACATTCCATGCATAAATTTCCTTCCTAAGCAAAACAACTAAACAGGGGACTTCATCAAAGAGTTTGTCATAATCAAGGCCCACAGAAATGGGAATATTTTCAACTATGGACCTTTGTATGGAAGGAGTGATGCTCTTTCTTTTAAACAAAAGTATAAGGGGAGGGGGAAAAAATACTGGGACACAGGTGCAATTTTATTGAAAACCAGGACAGTTTCCAAACTGAGACAGAACCTGAAAAACCTGGACATATGGTCACCCTAATATAATCCCATATGTTTAAGAAGCATTCCAGAATTTCTGGGCTAGAGGTGCTGTACCATGTACCATTCTACCTTTTTACATTGGATGATAGATGTCTTAAAATGCCTGAACATTTTAGTACAAGTTGATGATTAAGGAAGGTTTTTGTGAAAGTTGTTCAATGTACAATCATAGGGCTCTTAAAGAATATAGCAGATTGAGACCAACACAAAAGTTGTTTTTTCTTTCTGGACAAGTCAATCTTCCAGCAGTATTTTGAGTGGCTGAGGGATTAATTTTTTTAGTAGGTTCAGTGGATAGGAGAGTGAAATTCAATGTTTTGTTTAACATGTCATTTACCATAGAAAAAATTTGAAGGCTTCAGGACCAACAGTTTATAATGAAACTTACCCTTCAGTCAGGGGAACAAAGTTGACATCTCTAATGCTTTGTTTTCTGCTCCATCTGCTACCAATAATTGAAGTGCAATGGTCAATGTTCTTAAAGGAGGACCATGTAATGTGTGTATAAAATATCACCCATTGGCCTTCTTTTAAGTGTAACATGAAATTGTCACACATGCAGTTTGAATATGTCAACTTGGAAAAAAAAGAAGCTAATAATGCTTTTGGATATTATATCCATTGCCTTGGATGTAGTCCTCAAGGCTTTGCTTTTCTTCTGCTATGGAAGTGAATAGCATGACCTAAATTCAATCAAATGACTCTGCAGCTCGCATTTTCAGTCATGTTGGTCATGAAGTCTGTCAATGTTTCATGGACATGTTATGCTTAGTAATCAGCCAAGTCTTGAGTCTACAAGATTTTCAAGCATTAGGACATGCATATTAGGCCTTGACTTAATGGATTGTATTTCAGCTTGGAAATACATTTGTCATTTCTTGGCATTGTCTTTGGCCAGAAGCTGAAGCTACATTTCACAGGAATTGACAGTGTGCACTAGACGTAGGAATGCCCTTGAGGAATAGATGAACCAGCCTGTAATAATATAGATATAATATTTTCATTAAAAAGGAGACTTAGCTTTGTGGATATTTTTTTCCAGTTCTGCTTTTCAAGCAGGATCATTTTATGTTTTCAAGGCTTCATCACTGGGATTATATTTAATTTTTTAGAAAGCAATTTTGCATTTTCATCCTCTAATAAAACATATGTGCCAAATGGTTTTTCTTGACTAACATAAACCAAATAAATGTCTGCTGATAAATATAATATGAGCTTTATTATTTGACACATGCTCTCATCTATTCTGTTCAATTCTTTTTCAAGCTAAATATCATGGTTTGTCACAAAGCCATTGTCCTGTGCTTATCTATCTGACAGGCTTTGGTTACTCTAATGTATCTTTCGCCTCAGCTGCATTTCCTCCACTCTCATGGCCATGAGTAAGTGAAATGGAAAAAGAGAGTACATCTGAGTCAGATTCAGATGTCTTCTTTGATTGTGAAGACGACCAGAAGGCAGGGGCAGGACGGTGAGTCAGTGACCAACATTTCTCCAGTGGATTGGGTTACTGAGCTACAGTCCTTCCATATCATCCACTTATTTATGTTTGTTGTATTACATCAGTAGAAGAAGTGCAGCCTTGCATGGGAGAAGAAGGAGTTCTGCAGACAAGCAGTCTCAGCCTATCATTGAAAAAGTATCCCAATTGCCAGTTGTGACCATATCCAAGACATCATCCTCAAGGGAAGAGACTGGAATTGATGGAAATTCCAGTAGTGGCCAGCAAGAAATAAAAGCTGCAAATTGTGTAACAGATGGAGGTGACCAAAAGTTCAGGGTATGAACATGCAGCTGCAAAGGAGACTTTCATGGCATATGCTACCTTTAAAGGATACTCAATCTCATCTAATGAATATGTTCTCCCTGTAGGTCCCAGGAGTGCACTCAGATGAGAGGGATCGCAGGAGAAAGTTGCGTCATCTGAGAAACAAACTCCGAAGCGATGAGGATGGTGAAGAAGTTGCCATCAGCCCTGGTAATAGCCGAACATCATCTATTGATGGTGTCTATGCAATATCTGGTTCTCGGAGGCATCCTTTCAAGGTCATTGAAGCCGATTCACTCAGGTCTGTTGGCAATTTATGAATTGCTAGTGTAGCAAGGTGGAAAAAATGCTTGATATTAATGATCAGGTCATGGTTCTTATCATACATATTCATGCATACCATGGGTTGCACTAAGTTTCTTGCCTGGCCTCCTGCCCATGCATCTTGGGGGTTCTGGGACCCCCAGGACGCATAGGCAGAAGGCCTAAGAATGTTGGATTGAATATCATACTGCTTGGTTATAAGTTGGTAAATACACATGGATTGCTGGACTTTTACTTTTGGGGAACCCTTCAAGATTCCCTCATGCTTCACTTGGAAAGTAACCCCTAGCACAAGCCCTGCATACCAAGTCAAAAATTGGCCAAATGTGGTTTAATATATCCACTGAACAAGAACACAAGGCATTGCAAAAAGATTATATCTACAGTTGACACAATATTGGTGCTGATAGCTGAAAAAAACGTGTAATGAGGAGAAATTATCTGGGTAGGAAGATAAGAAGCTATTGGAATGGATTGTCATTTACTTGCATATTTAGCTATGTTGTTGCTCCTCTTTAGAGAAAGGGACATGGTCTTGTGTGTGAGAGTGCATTATCCTGCTTATGGTTGGAAGTCTTGTTGTTTCCAGCTTGCAAAGTGCAATATCACTGGGCAAGATAGGGCGCATTTTGGGTGGGTCAGAGCCTTCAATAGCTGGACTGGGAGGAACTGCTGCATCATTCAAGGATGCCACCATTTCCCATCAGGCAGATGATAAAACTGATTCCCCACATGACATCTCTCACTGTCCAAATCTGCCTCCTGCCCAGCCAACTGGGAATGGATCTCTTGAAAAGCAAGCCACAGTCAGACCGACTCCTCTTGTCCTTCCTGCCTTCCCTTCACCTCCAGAAGGTTGGTAAGGCCTGATGAAAGTCAAAGCAAGTGTGAATTCACCTCTGTAAGATCAATCTAGTCATAAATGTGAAGGTCTGCTATATTCACCCTCCAAAACCATTATTTTTTTGTGGACAACAGACTGATCATATGGGTAAGGTCCAAACTCTTCTGCTCATGTGTTGGCACTACAGAAAATAATCAACTCCTGCAATGTCTTTGATTGTCCTGTTCTGCTTTTCAATGATACTGTTTTTGCATTAGATAAGACTGGTGCCATTTCTAGTAAGATCATGAAGAAAGCTTCAGGCAGTGGATTTTAAGTAAATGATTGGATTTGCATTTATCAAGAGGTGCATATATGATGTCTCATCATCTCCACAGAGGATGAGGAGCGAAGTGAATCCCCATTGACACCTGTGATTCCAATCCTCCAAGAGCCAGATTTAGTTGCAAGTACGAAAAACAACAACCAGGGGAAGATCCCAGTTGCTCCTCCACGAAAGAAGAAGAGCAAAGCCAGTACACATGCATCACCTGGCATGTCTTTGACTGTAAGATTTCTTCTTGACTCTGATCTCTTTTGCTCTAGAAGCAAGCAATACTGTGTTGGTTCAGCTTTGATTTCCCCATTGTGGAAAAGCCTGAAAATCTATTTGGCCATTCAAGTTCAACAGCAGGTTTATGGCTATTCAGATCATCACAATATCTAGCAGTATACGATCATGTCAATAAGCTTGCAACTGGGAATTTGTATTCAGCTTATTGGACCTGTTTTCTTTGTAAGCTGTTACTGAATATAGATGAGACAAGAAATCAGCTGATTTGTGTGAGGGTTTGATGCAAGAGCAAATCTAGACACTCAGGTGTCAAGTGGTCACTGTTTTGTAGTTAACCCCCAACTATGATCTTCAGGCTGTCCCTAGAGTGTCTAGGGTGGAAGCAGTAATATTTCAGAGTCCACTTATCCAGGATTATACATTTCACTTGTCTTGCTTGTTGACCCAGAGTCTTGAACTTTGCTAAATGCCATGAACTGGATGTTTCTTTTATATCGATTTTCCTAGTCAAATCTGGAAGTCTGAAATTAAAATGTTCTGCATGGGAGCATTAAAATTGGCATAAGGAAATTTAAATACAGTGCTGTGCTGTATGTTGAACTTAAATCCCTCAGACCATTTCCACATATTCTGCATGGTTTTCATGCTGCCATATGCAAACTGTCATAGCTTTGCCATCTGTTGTCTGATGTTGGTACTTTTTGGACCTATGTATAGAGCATGTTCAGAAATGTACAGCAGATATGAAGATATTCCTGTAGTTAGTTATGCAACACCTTTCCTTCTAGCCAAGACAGCCAGAGAAGGTGGGCTCATTTTCATCAGTTATGTCATCAGATGTGAGTCCACTAAGCCATGG